AGCTTTACCCACTCTGTTGTTGACTATGAGGGCTACTCCATTCTTTCTACGGGATTCTTGCCCACAATAGTAGACATGATAATCATCTGAGTTGAATTCACCCATTCCTGTCCATTTTAGGTCACTGACGCCCAGGATGTCAATGTTTATTCTTGCCATCTCCTGTTTGACCATCTCCAGCTTCCCAAGGTTCATAGATCTTACATTCCAGGTTCCTATGCAATATTTTTCTTTGCAGCATCGGACTTTCCTTTCACTTCCAGGCACGTCCACAGCTGAGTGTCCTTTCGGCTTTGGCCCAACCACTTCATTAGCTCTGGAGCTACTTGTACTTGTCCTCCGCTCTTCCTCAGTAGTATGTTGGACGCCTTTTGACCTGAGGGTCCCATCTTCCAGCGTCATATCTTTTAGCCTTTTGTTTCTGATCATGGGGTTTTCTTGGCAAAGATACTGGAGTGGAATTGCCGGTTCCTACTCCAGGTGGATTGCGTTTAGTCGGAACTCTCCACTATGACCTGTCCGTCTTGGGTGGCCCTGCACAGCATAGCCCATAGCTTCTCTGAGTTGCTCAAGCCCCTTCGCCACGACAAGGCAGCAATCCATGAAGGGGCACTTCTTCATAGCAAGAACCAAAAGTCCGAACGTTCATGGCAAGATGGGGTTTGCCAAGAGGTTACTCTCAGATCTAAAATTTTTGGCAAGATGAATTTTACCAGGCAAGCCCCATTTTGCCATAAACGTTTGGACTTTTGATACTCACTATGAAGAAGTGGGAATTACCCAGGGAAGCTCACATATTATGTGTTTTTTTAATTTTTTTATTAGTGTCTGATAAAGGCATTGCCTATTCTTGCATTTATTTTTAAAGTTACCATTGCAAACAAAAACTTTGTGGCAGATAGATGGGCCATTGTTCTTAAGCTAGCATAAATTTAACAAGCATTATTTGGGGATGGGGAATTAATTGCCCAGAGGAAGCAAATGCAGTAGGAATTGCAGCAGGTAGTGTCAGGTGTTTTATCACACTGACATAAGACATAGCCTCTCTCTACTTGTTAATCAAAAACAGTATTGGATATATGCACAAGAATCACATACATTTCCATAGTTAATTGCAACTAATTAATAAGGTGCAGAGCACAGTCTGGGTGCATGATCACACATGCAACCAACATGTACATAGCACCTTATGAACAAGATAACTCTGCACAAGAGATTAAACACAAATCAGACTTCAGAAATGGCAGCTTACAAAAGCCAGTTTCAGAAAATTTTAACCACCTAGATATTTTGGCAATACTGAAGTAGTGGTGGTGGTATTATAAAATGAGGTTCAAGAGGGAGGCAACTGAAACAGGTTTCCTTCACATATTCTAGTCTGCATCTAGAGTCTTACATAAAGACCAAGGCTTTTTAGCACTCTGACGCCAGAATTCTATTGGTTAGTCATGCTGGCAAAAGTGCAATGACATAAAGTGCAGCATCAAATTGCCATTTGTATTCCTCATTGCACATTAGTCACATGAGTTAGTGCACAGTGAAGGATACAAGTGGCAACTCGAAAAGTAACAACAATTTGCCGGTGGAATTGACATAAATAACCAACAGGATTCTAACTACTGTATATGCATGAATATACTGTACTGGTTTTCTAAATAATTTTGTGTATAAAGGTAGCCTTCCTTGGCAAAACTCTGCCCTAAGCAGAACAAACTAGATTTGTATTACTTTACCTACTGCCAAAATGTTTCTGTAATCACCTCTTAGAATGTTCATTACCTGTATGAATAACACCATTATCACTTTGAAAGTTTGCTACCAGTGTTTCCTACCATGCAATTATCACCTTATGTCTTCTATTTCGGTTGGTCGCCTCTCTTTCACCATGTACACTGCTTATATAAACTTGTAGCATAGATATTGTATTCCATGTGTCTAAGGAAGTAGGTTGGAATCCATGAAAGTTCAAATTGAGATGAATCTATTAATCCTACAGGTGCCACAATTTTGTTTTGTTATACACAGACAGGTTTCAGAAGGGGAATTTTCTTCCTGACAAAGCATCTGTGCTTCTCTAACTCTTTCTACACCAAGCACCCACACATTGATTTTCATTCTGGAAATAGAATTTCATTCAGCTCTTTATTCTCTTTTTCTTTAGGAACGCTATTTGAGGACAAAGGAGAGAAACATAGCAGAAGAGGAATATGCATATGGGAATGCATTGAAAAAATACACAAAAGAAGCCCTATTTTCTTTAATTACCTCTATGCACCCATTGAAACAGAGGTATTAAGCAGAAATGTTTCCACTTTTTTGCAATCTTGTGACCCAAATAAACTTTTCCTGTAGTGAAATGAATGTTTGCTCAGTTCAGTCTCATTTGAGGCTTTCAGATAAGTAGACTGCGAGAATGTTTACTAGTCTATATGTACTTCTTTTTCTGCTTAGGAGCTGTCTGCTTGCCTATTTAAACTATTTTTACGTTTTCTTTCTTCTTAAAAAGAACCCAAGATAGCTTATATCATTAAAGACAACATTAAAGCTAAAAACATAAGCTACAAAGCATCAAGCAATACCACACTAAAAATGGTAAACAAAAGCAACACCAAAAACACATTCACAGCAGTAGGCACAATAATCTATTTAAAAACTCGACTCAGGCAGCCAGTCACTCAGGAAAAGCTTGCCTGAAGAGAAAAATGGAAAAATGGGGCCAGCCTGGCCTTTTGTGGGAGGGAGTTCTAAAGTCTGGAAGCAGCAACAGAGAAAGCCTTCTCCCATGTGGTGGGACTGAAACAATGGGCTCTCCTAACAATCTTACTCTTAACTCCTGAGCAGGCTTGTAAAAGGAGATGGGGTCCTTGAGATAACTTGGACCCCAGCCATTTAGGGTTTTATAGGTTAGAGCCAGCACTTTGAATTGTGCCCAGAAATGGATTGTAAGCAAGTGGAGATGGAGTAACGGGGGTTATGTGATCCCTGTAACCAGACTCAGTTAACAATTTCACTGTTGTCTTTTGAACCCATGGAAATTTCTGGACACTTTCCAGAGGCAGAGCATGTTACATAGAGCACGTTACATTTATCCAGCCAGATGTAACTAATGTATGTATCATCGTGGCCAGATCAGACCTCTCCAGGAATGGGTGCAGCTGGCACACTAGTTTTAATTGTGCAAATGCATTCCTGGCCACTGCTGAAACCTGGGCATCCAAGCTCAGAGAGGAATGCAGGACCACCTCCAAGCTGTGCACCTGCATTTTCAGAGGGAATATAACTCCAACCAACACAGGCTGTATCTTTGTTCTTTGATCTGACTTTCAACTGCCCAGGAGCACCTTGTCTGGATTAAATTTCAGTTTATTCACCCTCATTCAGTCCATTATCAACACCAGACACTGATCTAGGGCATGGCCAGGAACAAAAAGCACATCCAGCAGATTTGTATATTTATATGTTTATATTTATACATTGCTAGTCTTCTAATGAGTTCAAAGCAATATACGTGATTTTCCTTCTCCACACCTTGTCCTCAGAAATCTATGAGAAAGATCAGGCTGAGAGTATGCAACTGGCCAAAGGTCACTCGATTTCATGGAGATATAAACCTCAATCCCCCACAGTTTGGTCCAGCACTCTGAAATACTTAGTTTATTTTTTGAGTTATTTACAAAGAAAACTCTTACGTTGTAAAGTTTCCTTTTTTTCAAAAGCTGTTTCCTATGTGTTGTGGATTATGTGTTGTGCTTTAATTCTGTAGCATTATACTTGTGGGATTCTTTGAAACTTTTTAAAACTCTTATTTGTTTTTAAGGATTAATACATCATACAGGAAAAAAATGAACTTTTAACAAACATAATCACAACATGCCTTGCATTTTCCATTTAAATATTTTGAATATGCAGTACTCATGTCTCATATTCTTATACTGTTGCAATACTTAGTGAATTAAGTCTAATTAGAATGATTTCCCCCCACAGGAATTACATTAAAAGCATACAGTATTTCCCTCTAATTTCTTGGAACAAATCAGTATAATTAGAATAGCTGAAAAAGTGGTCAACTAATTAATGAGATCCCACCCCGGCCTTGGTGCAACTTCACAATAACAGACCAAGGACTTAAGCCTTGTTTTACCACTGGGGGAAAATAAAAATAGTTCTAGACAGGTTCTTGTCCAGCAGTGTAGAGAAGGTTAGAACCAGGATGGAGTGGAACCAGTCCTGTCTCTACATCAAAGAGTCTTATTGGCTGCCCCAGGACCAAAATATCCACAAAACTATGCTCACTTTCTATATGGTATGTTTTAGTGTGGTTCCTGAATATACAAATGTGATATTTACTTTAATGTGGCAATCTCATTAATTTCTGTATTGTTTCAGAAAAAAGTATTCTAAGCAAAAACTACTCATCTTCTTGGTGCAGACGGAGATTAATATCTGCTAGGCAAAGAGAATATGAAAGAGAGGGAAATGGGTGTAGTTCCCAAAATTATATCTGAAATAGGAATAGCATTTAACTGCTTAACAATATGGGGGAACCGAACAGTCTGTTTAAATATTTCTCACAGTATAATGGAATTATTGGCCTTGCAATTTACATAGCAATTGCAATTCAGAAAAATTCAGGTCAAAACATTTCAGCTGCTATCTATAGCATATGAAGTCCAGGAGAGTAGCCTACATAGGGCACTTCTTTCACTTTTTATAAGACAGGGCAAGAGAAGGCAATGATACATGGAAGCCACCATGCCTTTGTAATTTGCAGGCATTATTTTGTGCAGGTTTTAAAACCAAATGCAAACATATCCTGTCTTAAGAAATGGGACTACTACACAGAAGAGACCTTGTCCACCGGCCCATCTTATGACTGGACCATGGTGATTACAAAATGTAGTAATCCAGATGAATCTGATCAGACGGATGTGTCACCTTCACACAATAAGAGGAAAATTGTCTGGCCATGCTATGACAATATCATCAAAGTGCAGCCTGACGCCATCACCAGCCTATTAAATGTGAGTATAAATGTTCCATACATCCATTCCATTTCCTGTCCACTTCCTTTAAAAACTGTCTCTTTTATTAGCATTTTAAAGGATTTCCCCCCTCTGCAGTTATCACGCTTGCAGAGTTCCAAGGAAAAATAAATTCCACATGGGGGAAAAAAACAGGAAATTAGTAGTACAAACATTTGGAAGATTTAAAACATGTTCTATTAGTAGAGGAATCTATTTTTCCTGAATTAATTGTGCTACAACACAAGAAAAAAGCATACTAAATAACAGTTCAAATTTTATGGAAGTTTCTGTTTCGAAACATCGAAGAATGTGGCTAAGAGTTAACAGTAACTCCTAGCTATACTTACTATGAACACTGAATTCTAAGCCTGTAATAATACTCTGTGTTCTTGGCTTCATAGTCTTGAATTCAGATCTTTTCTTTCTCTTAGCATATGATCCTTCTGCAATTAGGAGACAGAACTATAATTTTGAACTGTAAATAAAATGTGTGGTTTCAAGACATAATAGCTGCTGGCTCCAAGTTGCTGTTTATGACAACTTGATGTTCCCAAGACTTCTCACACTTCACTTTAGGATGTGCAGGCCTGAAACCTAACTTCCAGCAATGTGATCAGAAGAGGCTTCCTGTCATCTGTCTCTTTGCCTAGTGAGAGTTAAATGCCATACTATGAAAGATACTTAGTTACCCTGGAAAGTCTTTTATGACTTCCTAAAGTTCTAAGGAATTGTTAACGATCTAGGGTTTGTTGGGTATCAAATCCTATGGCTGCATTTCACATTACAATGTCTCTTCACTGTAAATAGGGTCTCTTAGCTTTGCCTTCACTGCACCACTAAGCCCATGTCTCCACACATACCTATCCTAGAACTATCCAGATGTTCTAGAGTACAAGTCCAATAATCTAGCTATTGTTCATGCTGAAACATCTGATAGGAACGGTATAGGAATGCTCCAAATTGAGTAGGGCTGATGTAAACAAAGAGTTATATAAATGGTATGGAAAAGATCAGCCTGATATGGCTAATATGGCTATAAATTATGTTATTTGACACCTGAACTCCACTGAAGTCACATTAATAGAATGGCCCTGTTTTTAACTTCCATCCTGTTATGAATATTAGAAACTAAGCAAAAACAGTAGTACGGGGAAGCATTAACTTGTAGATCCATGAATTAGTACTTGAATTATTAACTTGCGGAACCTGGAATTATTATCTGAGTGCACTTCTCTTTTGTAAAAGAATCGTGTCCACATGATTATAAGAAAATGAGAAAGGTTGTTTTTGTTAGAGAAATACATTGGATAGAAGTCTTGGTTCTAACTAACTAAGATGAATGTATCAAGGGCCACAGCTGTCCCTTTCATCTCTAGAGATGTCTCCTCCAAAAGAAGACAGGTATGACAGCAGCAACCATAAGAATAGAACCTAAGGTTGAAGACAATTCAGCAAAGGTCAGAGCAGGTAAAGTGTACAATGTAGGAAACTTGAGCCGGCTTCTTCTCTCTCTCTTCACTGCACCTCATGCAAAGACAGGAATCTTCCTCAAGGCATACTGTGTTGCACTCAGTCACCGCCAATAAGTAACAGGAAACAACCCTGTACAGAAGCTACCAAAGAGTTCAAATTTCAGTGTCGTAACAGGAATGACAGTTTGGCATGCATAATATCTTTCTGTTTCAATTCCCTTTTTTTATTATAACATGGTAATGCTTCTTAGGAAATAGGGCAAATGTCAGTTTTAGCAGTATGCAGCGTTGATGTCATAATATTGGACTTGACCTTTGTACATTTGTTTTAAAAAAACTATATCCAACCTTTATCATAATTTTTCCATCACGGCATGCAGTGTTTGTTTTTCAAACTGTAAACACACAGAAATATTTAACCTCAGTAAAAGATGTTTGTGTTGTTTTCAGGAAATCGAAAAACTGGAAAACAAGTTAAATCAGAGCCCAGAAAGGTGGCAGTCATTGTGGGAGAGAGTCAAAATAAATATTAAAGAAGATACAAAGCAGTACAATGTAAGTAGTGAAAACTACACTATGACAAGAAATTTGGTTTTATGAACGCTTTCAAGGATTCTGACAGAAATACCTTGCTAAAATTAATATTTTACTTTATTTGGGTTAATGTGGCATTTTTACTTGTGTATGGATTTCATAAATTTGAAAACAATTCTGTATATCCCTCCTATTTTGATGTGGTTATTGTGGTTGCAGTTGGTGTTCTTGTTGTTGCTGTTATTGTTCCAGGAGAGTTATTTGGTATTTTTAAAAATTGTATTTAACTAGGTAGGAACTAATAATATCATCTCAGTCAACATAAGAGATATCAACTTGGATCTAAACTTGCTCAACTAGAACACTACCTCCTCTTACTTCCCCACTCCTTTGCTCTCCATTGCTGCCCCTTTGGACACCTTGTGCATAAGAGGCCCTTGGTTCCTCTGGAGTAATGTAGGATGGGGAAAGGGTGATTGCAGAGGAAAAGGAAGTTGACAGAAGACAGACACTTATTTGGGAGTGCAAGCAGCCTGTAATAGGGAAGGTAAGGAGGAAAGCCCATTGTGCTAAGCAGTTTCCTCTTTGCCAAAGTCTAGATCCACATACATGTTTTTTAAACTGGGATGGCTGACATGCGGTCAAGTGGGCTACATGAGGCCCCTACAGTTGCAAGTGCACCCTCATTCTCAGAACATTAATGCTTTTTATTAATTGGCTCAAAATGTGTCCTGAAGGGGAAGGGGACTTTTTGTCACATTTTGAGGGCCAATGGCTCTCCATATGCAGAGAGGGTTGCAGGAGCAAGAGATGCAAGGCATGAGATACAGCTCAAACAGTATGCAAAAGATTTTTTTTTAAAAGCCAAAACCTTGACAATGAAGCACCTCACACCAAATGTCTTCTAGTATAACAACATTTATTCAAGTATTTCCATCCTGCACTACATCAATAGATTTCTGGGTAGGAAATAATTAAAACATTTACCTTCATATGATGAAAAATAGTCCAAATACTTGTAAACATTTTTCAGAACAGTTCAAACAGTTCAAGAGTTCAAATAAAGCACAGAAACCATCAAATGGAAAGTTTGGAAACTAGGATGGATTTGATTTAAAAATCAATGTTTATTTAAATCGTAATTTAAATTTTGATTTAAATCAAATTGATTTTTAAAATAATTGATTTTTATCCACCCTGTTGAAAATTAAGCGATGATCCTACCAGCTGCAATGTGCTTGAATAAACAGACAGGTTTTAACTTAGTACCAAAATAAAGGCTATGCCAGCACCACTCAGGCCTCTAAGGAGAGTGTATTCCACAACCAGGGTACTATAAGAAAGCAAGCCATCTCCCTTGTCTTCATGGAACACACCACTTTCAATTGTAGGAGATGGAGGCGGGCCCCTCCAATATATCTTAATGGACTGGGCAGGGTGAGATATCCATTGAATTTATGACTTCAGACACCATATTTTTTTCAGTGTTGTTTTTTCTTTTGCCTTTTGCTCATTCTCTAAGGACATGATGTCATCTGATACAAACCAGCAAAAGCCCGATTTTGCTAGATCTCTGTTTTCATCTCTTTTAATGTCAGTACTATTGTCCTATCTTCTTAACTTGTCCATAGGTCTTCTTCAGGCTTCTGCATTTTTCTTTAAAGCAACTTCAGTAGCAGTTCACACAGAGCCACTAAAAGACGTTGGTCTAATGTGATAATAACATGTGGAGGTATAAATAAACAGGCTCAATTGATCAGGAAAAGATTGTTACATGATACTTTAATTGGCTTAGAGAACATTTTTCCTAAACTTTTTTTGAGCCACTATTGCAGATTTAATTTCTAGGGGCAAAATAATTACTTTTGTTCATTAATCACTTAGCACAAAATTACGTATAGTATTTGCTAAAGGGTTTTGCTTAATGGTCTCTTAAACAGAGTACAATATATGTCTGCTCGGTAACAGATAATTTTTAGATAAAACATTTTCGTACAGCTTCTGTATTATCAATATTATTTTCCACTGCACAAAGAAAACAAAGAATTATCCAATAAGGCTAGCTGTAGCAAGCTGGCCCCTTCATCTTTTAATTCAATCTGTGGATTTATTGTGTTGTGCTCCTGCCAGTACTGTAGTGGATTTAATAGCCACTGGAGTTCTAATTTAGAGCAGCCAGTAGTTCCTGTTCAGAAAGTTATTATGTTAGGAACCTTGGCTAACCTTACTAGTTGCATGCCTTGAAATCTTATCTTACTTTTTTAAAGCATCGAAGACATCCATCTGGCTCTTCAGCAATAATGTCTGCCAATCTGCATTCCTATCAGAAAAGGTCTCTGTTGCATCTACCAGATAGTGGATTGGGTGAAGAACAAAACACCAATATCTCACCCTCCAATGGTGTGGAAAGAAGAGTAACTACACTGTATAACCAATTTACATCAAAGAATGATGAAAACAGGTAATCAGAAACCAAGTCCTATTTCCCCCACATCATTATATTATTTCAAACTGCAGTTTATGACAGGTAACAAATGTAGCAAGAGCAATAAAGCAGCACAACTTCCTATAATTAAAAGCAAGAATAATCTTTGCCACACTTTTACACTTATTTGCCTGATTTGCCTTTTTCTGTCAGTGGATTTTTGCAGGTGAATCTCACAGAGAAAAAAGCTGTCCTCATCATCCCCATGAGATGTTAATGCTTTTGTTAAAATCATCCTTTTATCTTCATTTGCAGCTTAATCAAGAAATATAATCTGTTCACTTAAAGATAAGACCCCTGTTGTCTACTATATTGCTGCTACTGCTGCTGCTACTGCTATAATATTGCTGTTGTACTGCTGCACAAAAGACATAATTTTGGAGGCAAATTGCCTCAAGAAACCTTTGCAGACATTATCCAGTGCCTACGGGATCATGTGACTCAGCGTGTAACACATAATTTTATTTATTTTATTTATTCTATTTTATTTATATGCCGCCCACACTACCCAAAGGTCTCTGGGCGGCTTACAACAATTAAAATACAATACAATTTAGAACAATTAAAATACAATTAAAATATATATAAAAATTGCCATCGGACCCACAGCTAATATTATTTCAATTAAAAGCCTTCTGGAACAGGAAGGTTTTGACCTGCTGCCGC